AGAATAGACTTTGTCTCAAAATAATTTTAAAAAATGAAAAATAAATAAAGGGCAGGCGTCGTAGCTCATGCCTGTATTCTCAGCACTTTGGGAGGCCAAGGCGGATGGATCACGAGGTCAGAATATCGAGATCATCCTGGCTAACATGGTGAAACCCCGTCTCTACTAAAAATACAAAAAATTAGCCGGGCGTGGTAACGGTCGTCTGTAATCTCAGTTACTCCGGAGGCTGAGGCAGGAGAATTGCTTGAACCCGGGAGGCGGAGGTTGCAGTGAGCTATTGTGCCACTGCACTCCAGCCTGGGTGACAGAGCAAGACTCCGTCTCAAAAAAAAGAAAAAGAAAAATAAATAAAACCAAACCTCTGCAATCTGTGATTCACCATGAGAGAGATAAAATGATTCAAATAAAATATATTGCTGTGATGACTGGTTCCAAATTGCTAACATTGTTTATGACCAATTTTTGGTTTGTCAAATCCATAATCCTGTGAATGTGACCTTATATGGTAAAGGGAGGTTGCAAGTGTGCTGACCTTAAGGATCTGAAAATGGGAGGATAATCCTGGAGTATACGAGTAAGCCCTAAACCTGGTCTCCAATGTTCTTTTTTTTTTTTGAGATGGAGTCTTGCATTGTCACCCAGGTTGGAGTGCAATGGTTTGATCTTGGCTCACTGCAACCTCCACCTCCCAGGTTCAAGTGATTCTCCTGCCTCAGCCTCCCAAAAAGCTGAGATTATAGTTGCCCACCACCATGCCTGGCTAATTTTTTGTATTTTTAGTAGAGACGGCGTTTCACTATGTTGGCCAGGCTGGTCTTGAACTCCTGACCTCGTGATCCGCCTGCCTTGGCCTCCCAAAATGCTGGAATTACAGGCATGAGCCACCGTGCCTGGCTCCAATGTTCTTATAAAAGGAAGTTTGGATAGGGAGACAGAGATGGGCCATGTGACGCTCGAGCCAGAGGCTAGCTGCCAGCTTTGAAGGTTAGGGAAGGGGTTCCGAGCCAAGGAATGCAAGGAATGCAAAGAATTCAGCTCTAGAAACTGAAAAAGACAAAGAAATGACTCTTCCGTGGAGCCTCCCCGGAGAACATAGTGCAACCTAGCAGGATGGGACCTCCTACTCCCCCCAAACCCCGCTTTAGGTTTTTTTCCTCCAGTGATCACCTTTTTTTTTGAGAGGAGTCTCACTCATGGCTCACTGCAGCCTCAACTTCCCGGGCTTAAATGATCCTCCTTCCTCAGCCTCCCAAGTAGCTGGGACTACAGGCACCATATCACACCAATTTTTTAATTTCATTTTCTGTAGAGACAGGGTCTCGCTGTGTTGCCCAGGCTGGCCTTGAACTCCTGGGCTCAAGTGATCCTCCTGCCTTGGCCTCCCAAAGTGCTGGGAATATAGACATGATCCACTGCACCCAACCAGCATTGGGTTGATATTCTCTTAAATTCTCCAACTTTTTTCTCCCATTAAGGGACATAGTACTGTTTATTAGATGGGTAATATCACAGGTAATTCAATATGGACCATGGAGTTCATTCAAATGGTGTATCTTGACAATTTTAGTATTGGCTGATGTAGCATGACAATCTAGGAGAGTATTTCCTTGGTATTTAATTCTTGTTCTGCTTAGTTTAGCAGTTTTATAAACCAGCCTAGGCCGGACGCAGTGGCTCACGCTTGTAATCCCAGCGCTTTGGGAGACCAAGGCAGGTGGATCACCTGAGGTCAGGAGTTTGAGGCCAGCCTGGCCAACATGGTGAAACCCCATTTCTACTAGAAATACAAAAATTAGCTGGGCGGTAGTGGTGCACACCTGTAATCCCAGCTACTAGGGAGGCTGAGGACAGAATCGCTTGAGTCTGGGTGGCAGAGGTTGTGGTCCGCTGAGATTGTGCCACTGTGCTCCGGTTTGGGCGACAGAGTCAGACTTTGTCTCAAAAATAAATAAATTAATAAATTAACTAATTAATTAATTTAAAAAAGAGATTTCGATCTGGCCCTGCCTTCCCTGCAGCTGCCCTTTCTCTGCTCCCTGTGCTTAACTCTGAGCTCCACCCACCTTTCAACTCAGCTTTCTTCTGGGCTAGAGCTTTGAGTATGATGGTCTCTCTCCCTGGAACACCTTTCTCACTTCTCTCATCCATCCCCTCTTGATTTCTTCTAATTATTTTCTGGCTCTGCTCAAACCTTGCTTCTTCCAGGAAGCCTTCTCTGATCGCTTGGCCAACACTCACACCCCACAGTTGACAGTAGGCATCCTGTCATAATAAGTCTTTTTTTTTTTTATTCTTTTCTGGAACAAAGCCTTGCTCTGTCACCCAGGCTGGAGTGCAGTGGTATGATCTTGGCTCACCTCTGCCTCCTGGGTTCAAGCAATTCTCCTGCCTTAGCCTCCTGAGTAGCTGGGATTACAGACACATGCCACCACGCCTGGAATTTTTTTTTTTTTTCCAGTAGAGATAGAGTTTCACCATGTTGACCAGGCTGGTCTTGAACTCCTGACCTGGTGATCCACCCACCTTGGCCTCCCAAAGTGCTGGGATTACAGGCAGAAGCCACCATGCCCAGCCCATAATAAATCTTTATGGTGACTTGAAGTTTTCCTTCACAGCACTTTTGCAGTTGTGATTATACAGGCATGCGCACGCGCACACGCACGTGTGTGCGCACACACACACACACACATTTGAGACAGGGTTTCACTCCTGTTGCCCAGGCTGGAGTGCAGTGGCACAATCACTGCCCACTGCAACCTCTGCCTCCCAGGCCCAAGGGATTCTCCCACCTCAGCCTCCTGAGTATCTGGGACTACAGGTGCATGCCACCACGCCCAGCTAATTTTTGCATGTTTTTGTAAAAACGGGTTTTCACCACGTTGCTCAGGCTTGTCTTCAGCTCCTGAGCTCAAGCAATGTACTCGCCTTGGCCTTCCAAAGTGCTGGAACTACAGGCACGAGCCACCACTCCAGGCTGTAATCATATATTTATTTGTATGTTTAATATCTGTTCTTTGAGGCCAGGCCTGGTGCCTCACCCCTGTAATCCCAACAATTTGAAAGGCTGAGGGGAGAGGATCACTTGAACCCGAGAGTTTAACCAGCCTGGGCAACATGGTGAGACCTTGTCCCTAAAAAAATTAAAAAAATAAAAATTAGCTGGGCTTGGTGGTGCACACCTGTAGTCCTAGCTACTCAGGAGGCTGAGGTGGGAGGATTACTTGAGCCCAGGAAGTGGAGGCTGCAGTGAGCTGAGCTGTAACTGTGCCACTGCACTCCAGCTTCAGTGACAGAGCAAGACCCTGTCTCGAGAAAAAAAAGAGAAAAAAATCTGTTCTTTGAGGGCAGTTGCTGAGGCTGTCATGGTCACCTTTCTGTTCCCAGGGGCCAGCATAGGATCAGGCACATGGTAGATGTCACATAGCTATTTGTTGAAGAAACAAAAACTAGCATTTATGTTTTATTATTATTATATTATTATTATTTGAAATGGAGTTTTGCTTTTGTTGCCCAGGCTGGAGTGCGATGGCGCCATCTCGGCTCACTGCAACCTTTCCCTCCCCGGTTCAAGCAATTCTCCTGCTTCAGCCTCCCAAGTAGCTGGGATTACAGGCACATGCCAACATGCCCGGCTAATTTTGTATTTTTAGTAGAGACGGGGTTCCTCCATGTTGGTCAGGCTGGTCTCGAACTCCAGACCTCAGGTGATCCACCCACCTCGGCCTCCTAAAATGCTGGGATTACAGGTGTGAGCCATTACGCCCAGCCAAAACTAGCATTTATTGAGTGCTTAGTATGTGCTAAACCCAGTTTTAACTGCTTTATGTGATTTGAAATTAACTCACCTAATTAACAGACTATCTACAATAGTAATATGTAATTAACAATAGTACTAGTCTCTAATTAACAATTAGATTATTGTAATGCTACAATGTAGCATCACCTACATTGTAGATAGTCTGATTGTTAACTACTTTGCAGATACAAAAGTGTAACCCCAGGCCAGGTGTGGTGGCTAACACCTGTAATCTCAGCACTTTGGGAGGCCAAGGCGGGCGAATCACGAGGTCAAGAGATCAAGACTATCCTGGTCAACATGGTGAAACCCCATCTCTACTAAAAAATACAAAAATTAGCCAGGTGTGGTGGTGTGCCTGTAATCCGAGCTAAACTGTAGGCTGAGGCAGGAGAATTGCTTGAACCTGGGAAGTGGAGGTTTGAGTGAGCTGAGATCACACCATTGCACTCCAGCCTGGGCAACAAAAGTGAAGCCAGGATTATGAACCCAGGAATTTTGGTTCCAGAGCCCACAACTTAGCCACTAAACCACACTGCCTTTTCGTTATTCCCTTATTAAAACACCTATCACAGTATTTGGCAAAAAGTAGGTGCTCAATAAATAGGAAGAGCTGTTTATAAGTTATTTATACCATAGAAGTCTGGGATACATCCTGTATTTTATATCATTTTGACCATATATATTATTTTATTTTGCTTTGTTTTCATTCATTTGTTTTTATTTTATGTTATTTAAAAATTATTTGTATTACTTTTTTGTTTTACAGCAGGTATTTTATAAATGCATTTTTGGTGCTGCAAAGCCATTTCTAACTCTTGGGCCCAGAAAGGATCACCAGTGTCCCTGTCATTCTCCGTTAGAATCTCTGTTCGCTACTGAGACGAATTTTTTTTGTTTGTTTGAGACCAGGTGGAGGGGCGGGGGTTCTCGCTATCTTGCTCAAGCTGATCTCGAACTCCTGGGTTCGATCAATACTCAGACAATCTTGGCAAGCGCAGGAGGACCAAATTCTAGTGAATGAGATCGATTCTCTCGGATCGATCCCTTCCATGTTTTCTTTCTGATTGGCCCTCGACGAGCCTCAGTGACGCCTCCTGCACCGCCTCTCCCGAGAGTCAGCAGCCCTCGCTTTTCCGTGCGCACGCGCAGTATCCCGATTGGCTCTGCCCTATCGGATTGACGGGCAGATCAGCCAATGGTCTCGTAATATAGGTGGAGCGAGCCCTTGAGGATGTTCACGACTCGGCCTCTCGCTAAATATTCATGAGGGAGGCGGGTGGACGCCACTGCACACTCCGGCCGGCGCCATGAAGTGAGAAGGGGGCCGGGGGGTCGCGGCTCGCGAGCGGGCGCGGGGGGGTCTTGAAGATGGGGTCACCGGTGGGCGTGCCTGGGTCCCCAGTGGGGCCAGGGGAGGGTGAAAGGGTGGGGCGGGGGCAGCCGCAGGGAACAGCGGTGATAGCGAGGAGGCACTGAGGCTCCTGAGGACCTGAGGGTTACCGGGGGCGCCGGGCAGGTCACCCTTCTGGGCCCGACGACCGGGCATTGTGGAGGCGGGAGAGGGGCTGAGGGGACGGGGACTGACCCAGCAGCCCCTGCCGCCAGGCTCAACGTGGACGGGCTCCTGGTCTACTTCCCTTACGACTACATCTACCCCGAGCAATTCTCCTACATGCGGGAGCTCAAACGCACGCTGGACGCCAAGGTGGGTGGCCGGTGGGCCCGACCCGCCCACTCGACCGGTGGGGCTGCCAGGCCTGGGCCTAAGACAGATTGCAGGACGTCTGGATTTTAGAAGTACGAGGTCCTTGGAAATCCAGGACCCCATAATCTTCCGTTATCTAAAATAATAATGGTGAATAGGCTGGGCGCGGTGGCTCGCGCCTGTAATCCCAGCGCTTTGGGAATCCGAGGAGGGCGGATCACTTGAGGTCAGGAGATCGAGACCAGCCTGGCCAACGTGGTGAAACCCCGTCTCTTCTAAAAATACAAAAATTAGCCAGGTGTGGTGGCGGGCGCCTGTAATCCCAGCTACTCAGAAGGCTGAGGCAGGAGAATCGCTTGAACCCGAGAAGCGGAGGTTGCAGCTAGCCGAGGTGGCGCCATTGCACTCCAGCCTGGGCCACAGAGTGAGACTCGGTCTCAAAAATAAATAAAATAAAATAATAATGGTCAATAGGCTAGGCGCGGTGGTTCGTGCCTGTAATCCCAGCACTTTGGTGGGAGGTGGAGGCGGGAAGATCACTTGGGGCCAGGTATTGGAGACCAACTTGGGCAACACAGCAAGATCCTGTCCCTACGAAAAATTAGAAAATTAGCTGGGTGTGGTGGCGCGCTTGCCTGTAGTCCCCACTGCTTGGGAGGTTGAGGCAGGAGGATCGCTTGAGGCCAGGAGTTGGAGGCTGCAGTGAGCCATGATTGTGCCGTTGCATTCCAGTCTGGGCAACAGAGTGAGACCTGTCTCTTAAAAAAGAAGGGAGAAAAGTTCACTATATATCAGCTACTGTGCTAAATATTTAACGTGCAATTTCTCACTAATCTTCACAGTCATGTTATGAGGAAGGTTTTATTAGGCCCATTTTATTTTATTTATTTTTGAGACAAAATCACAGGTGCACGCCACCACATCTGGCTAATTTTTTGTATTTTTAGTAGAGAAGGGGTTTCACCATATTGGCCGGGCTGGTCTCGAACTCCTGACCTCAGGTGATCTACCTGCCTCCACCTCTCAAAGTGCTGGGATTACAGGCGTGAGCCACCACGCCCGGCCTTAGGCCTGTTTTAGAGGTAGGGATACTGAGGTCTGGGGAGGTGAAGGTACTTACCTAAGACCACTCAACAAGGAGGAGGCAGAAGTGGGTTTGAACCCCACTGCCCAATTTTAACTATTGCTGTGTTATCCTGCTGTTCCAAGTTGGTGGCATTGGAGGTCGGGGAGAGTCCCCAGAGTTTGTGTGCCCAAGGTTCTGAGACCCTGTGTGTTGTCCCTCTGGTTCCCAACATGCAGGGTCATGGAGTCCTGGAGATGCCCTCAGGCACTGGGAAGACAGTGTCCCTGTTGGCCCTGATCATGGCATACCAGCGGGTGAGTGATGCATTGAACCCGTAAAGACAGACAAAAGAAGGGACAGGACAGGGACTGAGTCCACTTGTTATCGGCAGGCATATCCGCTGGAGGTGACCAAACTCATCTACTGCTCAAGAACTGTGCCGGAGATTGAGAAGGTGAGCCGGGACTCATCCTGGTGTTCCAGCCCTGCTGTTCCCTAGGCCCTATTGGTCCCCCGGTGGTGGCCATCACCAGCTTTCGGGGGTGTCTGGGAAGCTCGGGAAGAGGCTGGGGCCTGGCAGGGCAGGGGTTTGTGCCTCCAATGAACACAAGCTCCCCCTGCCCCCCCCCCAACTTTGGAGTAGGTGATCGAAGAGCTTCGAAAGTTGCTCAACTTCTATGAGAAGCAGGAGGGCGAGAAGCTGCCATTTCTGGGGCTGGCTCTGAGCTCCCGCAAAAACTTGTGTATTCACCCTGAGGTGAGCACCCGTCCCTTCTCCTTGCCCTTAGCCCAGAGGTAGAGGAAACTCTTTCGTCCAACTGCAAGTCCTGGATCCCCAGGCTGGACCTCTTGCAAAGGCATGCAGTGGCTGCACACAGAATTCCCATCTCACTGGTCAAATTCTCATTCATTGTGGCCCAGGCAAGCACACCTCCTCAGGGAGTCTTCCAGTTCTACCCAGGCCTGGGAGAGGTTAAAAAGGCAGCTCTTAGAGTCTCTGGAAGGCCTGGTTTCCTGGCTCTGAAACTTACCAGCCGGGTATTTATGGAGAGGCGTTTTCTGCAGCCTGGGCCTCAGTCTTCCTTTCTGTAAAATGGGGATAATTATGTGCCTGCCTCATAAGGTCGCTGATGATAAAATTGGATGAAATGATGCAGCCGATGCCCTTAGCATGTACAAAGAACTAAAAGACTGTTAGAAATTCACGGCTGGGCACGGTGGCTCACACCTGTAATCCCAGCACTTTGGGAGGCCGAGGCGGGCGGATCACGAGGTCAGGAGATCGAGACCATCCTGGCTAACATGGTGAAACCCCATCTCTACTAAAAAATACAAAAAATTAGCCGGGCATGGTGGTGAGCGCCTGTAGCCCCAGCTACTCGGGAGGCTGAGGCAGGAGAATGGCATGAATTCGGGAGGTGAAGCTTGCAGTGAGCTAAGATCACACCACTGCACTCCAGCCTGGGCGATGGAGCGAGACTCCGTCTCAAAAAAAAAAAAAAAAAAAAAAATTTCTCATGATAGGCCAGGTGTGGTGGTTCACACCTATAGTCCCAGCACTTTGGGAGTCTGAGGTGGGCAGATCATTTGAGGTCAGGAGTTCGAGACCATCCTGGCCAACACGGCAAAACCTCATTTCTACTAAAAATACAAAAATTAGCCGGGGGTGGTGGCGTACATCGGTAATCCCAGTCGCTTGTACACGGGAGGCAGAGGTTGCAGTGAGCTGAGGTCACACTACTGCACTCCAGCCTGGCGGACAGAGTGAGACTCTGTCTAAAAAAAAAAAAAGAAATTGTCATGATATTTATATACATAATATATGACAAATACAATGTTAATTTTTATTAAATTATGCTATAAAACCATTGTACTTGGCTGGGCATGGTGGCTCACGCCTATAATCCCAGCACTTTGGAAGGCTGATGTTTCACCATGTTGGTCAGGCTGGTCTCTAACTCCTGATCTCGTGATCTGCCCACCTCGGCCTCCCAAAGTGCTGGGATTACGGACATGAGCCATCGTGCCCAGCCTTATTTATTTATTTTTTTTGAGATGGAGTTGCACTCTTGTTGCCCAGGCTGGAGTGCAGTGGCGTGATCTCGGTTCACCGCAACCTCCACCTCTAAGGTACAAGCGATTCTTCTGCCTCAGCTTCCTGAGTAGCTGGGATTACAGGCGCACTCCACCACGCCCAGCTAGTTTTTTGTATTTTTAATAGAGATGGGTTTCATCATGTTGGCCAGGCTGATCTCAAACTCCCACACTGGGCCCACAGACTATATATTACATCACATTATTTGTAAGAATATATGAGAAATAATATATCTAGCGGATGACAAAGAGCACAGGCCTCGGTGACTGATGAAAGGGGAAATGGAGAGGGAAGGGCTGACTGCCTTGGAGCTTTCCCTTTGGTGTAGGAAAAGGATTTGTTCTTGGGAAAGATAGCCTTAGGCTGTGATGGTACCTTAGAGGGTACAGAGCAGGTCAGGGGTGAGGGGAGTCCCAGACTCTGCAGCACCTCCTTTGATTCTTAGGCCCTGCCAGAGTTCCATGTGTTTTGGCATTTCCAAGGATGAAGTATTTATCCTCAATCTATATGCTAAAGATTTTTCAAGGCTTACTGTTTTAAAATATTAGTTTTGGTTGGCTGGGCACAGTGACTCAGCCTGTAATCCCAGCACTTTGGGAGGCTGAGGTGGGAGGATTGCTTGAGGCCAGGAGTTTGAGACCAGCCTGGGCAACATAGCAAGACCTCATCTTGACTAAAAAGACAAAAATTAGCCAGGCATGGTGGTGCACACCTGTGGCCTCAGCTACTCAGGAGGCTGAAGGGGGAAGGATCAGTTGAGCCTGGGAGGTCAAGGATGTAGTAAGCTGTGATTGCGCCACTGCATTCCAGCCTGAGTAGCAGAGGGACCTGTCTCCAAAAATATATATGTATAACTTGTAGTTGTAAGAATGTAACAATTTTACTACTCTCTTTTTTTTTTTTGAGAGGGAGTCTCACTGTGTCGCCCAGGGTGGAGTACAGTGGCATGATCTCGGCTCACTGCAACCTCTGTCTCCTGGGTTCAAGCAATTCTCCTGCCTCAGCCTCCCGAGTAGCTGGGATTCCAGGTGTGCACCACCATGCCTGGCTCATTTTTGTATTTGTATTTTTATTTATTTATTTTTTTGTGATGGAGTCTCGCTCTATCGCCCAGGCTGGAATGCTGTGGGGTGATCTCGGCTCAGTGCAAATTCCGCCTCCCGGGTACAAGCGATTCTCCTGCCTCAGCCTCCCGAGTAGCTGGGATTACAGGCACGTGCCACCACGCCTGGCTAATGTATTTTTAGTGGAGACAGGATTTCATCATGTTGGCCAGGCTGGTCTAGAACTCCTGACCTCAGGTAATCCGCCCACCTCGACCTCCCAAAGTGCTAGGATTACAGGCGTGAACCATCGCGCCCGGCTAATTTTTCGTAGAGATGGAGTTTCACCATGTTGGCCAGGCTGGTCTCGAACTCCTGACCTCGTGATCTCCCCACCTCGGCCTCACCAAGTGCTGGGATTACAGGCGTGAGCCACTGCACCCAGTCCAGTTTTACTACTCTTGTATCCCTGCATTAAGTTCCCATGTGTCTTAACTAATAATGCAACAGACTGAGGTTCAAGTTGTCCAAAACCCCAGCCAGCTGGGAGGTGTGGAGAACTGTGTTTGAAGAGTGGTTGGGTTTCCACCCTGTCTGGGTGCTAAGATGCCCCACACCCCCAGGTGACACCCCTGCGCTTTGGGAAGGATGTCGATGGGAAATGCCACAGCCTCACAGCCTCCTATGTGCGGGCGCAGTACCAGCATGACACCAGCCTGCCCCACTGCCGCTTCTATGAGGTGCCTGGAGGGCAGGGCTGAGGGAGGGAGGCTGGATGGGTGGCCTGGGGCAGGCAGCCTCCCTGACCCCTGGCACTCTTGTCCCAGGAATTTGATGCCCATGGGCGCGAGGTGCCCCTCCCCGCTGGCATCTACAACCTGGATGACCTGAAGGCCCTGGGGCGGCGCCAGGGCTGGTGCCCATACTTCCTTGCTCGATACTCAGTGAGAAGGCTGGTGGGGCGGGCAGAGGGGCGAGTGTGAGGGTGTGGGCTGCCCGCCCGTCTCCTGTCTGCCCATGCCTGTCTGTTGATTGCTGTGAGTCTGCCTGTCTGCATCTCCCTGTTGATGGGTGCCCATGTCTGTTGGTCTGTCTCTATCCATCTGCTCATATTTCTGCCTGGCCAGTGTCTGCCTCTGCAGGCCTGTGTGGGAATGACGGGCCAGTGTGGCCAGGGGTAGGGGGATAGGGGTTGGGGTGACAGGGCCCTGGTGACCCTGCTCCCTGGCCCCCCAGATCCTGCATGCCAACGTGGTGGTTTATAGCTACCACTACCTCCTGGACCCCAAGATTGCAGACCTGGTGTCCAAGGAACTGGCCCGCAAGGCCGTGGTGGTCTTCGACGAGGCCCACAACATTGGTGAGGGGGGCGCCAGGGGCCAAAGGGACGCCAGCCCCTCTGAGGGAGGCCCCTGCAGGCCTGCCTGAGCCGGCTCTCTCCCCCTTCTCCAGACAACGTCTGCATCGACTCCATGAGCGTCAACCTCACCCGCCGCACCCTTGACCGGTGCCAGGGCAACCTGGAGACCCTGCAGAAGACGGTGCTCAGGTGGGGCCAGGGACGGCTGGAGGACCCTGATGCCTGCCCTGCCCCTGGGACCCTGGCCTCTGTCTGACTTGTCCCCAGGGATGCCAGCCCCACCCCAACCCCAGCTATCTCCCCGCAGGATCAAAGAGACAGACGAGCAGCGCCTGCGGGATGAGTACCGGCGTCTGGTGGAGGGGCTGCGGGAGGCCAGCGCCGCCCGGGAGACGGACGCCCACCTGGCAAACCCCGTGCTGCCCGACGAGGTGCTGCAGGGTGAGCTCCCACCCCCCGCGGCCCCCCAGTCCCTTTCCCGCCTCCCCCCAGTCCCTTTCCCGCCTCCCCGTGGCTGCTGACAGCGTCTCCTCGCAGAGGCGGTGCCTGGCTCCATCCGCACGGCCGAGCACTTCCTGGGCTTCCTGCGGCGGCTGCTGGAGTACGTGAAGTGGCGGCTGCGTGTGCAGCACGTGGTGCAGGAGAGCCCACCCGCCTTCCTGAGTGGCCTGGCCCAGCGCGTGTGCATCCAGCGCAAGCCCCTCAGGTGCGGCCCCACACAGCGCGGGGATGGGGGCTCAGCAGGTCCTGGTTAGGCAGAGCCATGTCCTCCACGCTTGTAGCCCAGGATCACCATTGCCAGCCTCAGGAGTGAGTGAGCTGGGCGAGGCACGTGGGACGCTGTCTGTTCTAACCTGGCAGGTCCAGAAGCAAGGTTGGAGCTGGTCCTGGGTCCCTGTGTTGGGCAGGGGTCTGGCGGGCAACACCTGGCTGGATTGGAGAGTCTACCCCACCCAAGAGAGAGTAGTGGGAGCACCATTTACAGAGGGGTGGACTCGGGGAGGAGCCAAGGAGGGTGGGAGGTGAAAGCTGGGAGCTAAGCCAGGCCACGGCAGCAGGGAGGGAGTGTGTGGAGAACCAGCTGGTGGGGGGCCTGGACAGGGGCTTCTGCTGGGAGCAGAAACCAGAACCTGGGCCTTGCAGGCTAGAAGCTGGGGGAGGAGGCCGCGGCCCATGTCTCTTCCCACCAATGCCTCTAATCTTCCAAGTCTGAGGGCAGGGGCGTCCCCATGGAGCAGTCTGGGCGCATTTTCAGGGAGTCAGTCTCTTGAGACACAGGGCAGGCAGAGAATGACCAGGGATAGGAGGGGGCTTTTCCTTTGCTGCTTTGAGTAACTCATGGGTCTTCTCTAAACTGCAGTTTTCTCCTTTGTAAAACGGCCAAGGAGTCGAATCTTTACTTCACAGGGTTCTGTGGTGGTTAATGAGAGAGCAGCGAAGCCAATCAGCTACCCTGTCCTGAGCACTAAGGAGGAGCTAAGCCCTTTATGTTCCTTACCTCAATTGCACCCCCCGTACGGCATCCCCACCCTGCACATGAGGACGCTGGGGCTCCCAGAGGGGAAGCCTTTGCCCAGAGCCGCACAGCACTGTGCCCAGTAGTTGGGGCTTGAAGCCAAGCCTGTGGGCTCCAAAGGCCCTGGCTGCCCTGCCTCTGTGGGTGAGGCCACCTTCCGTGTGGGTTTGCCCATCTTCCCCAGAATTGGAGACTTGTGAGGGCAAAGAGGGGATCTCAGTCACTCAACACACATTCCCCAAGTGCCTGCTCCATGCTGGGGACACAGCCGAAGAGGTTCCATGGCCCAGTGTAGGGGACAGACTCATCCCTAGCTAGCGACCAGCCAGGGTAGGCGCCTGGGGTTACAGGAGACAGGCTGGGAGGGCTGAAGTGTGGGAGGCAGGTTTGCAAGTGTGACTGCCCGCCTGGCTTCAAAGCCAGCTGCTCCATGACCCGTCCCCGGGGCTGAGAACTTCAGCCCTGCCTGTGTGCGGTTGTGGCCGAGTGGCCCTGCACATGCGTGAGTGTGTGGACGCAATATCCATGGGACTCTGCGGGATGTGGGTGATGACTGCATTCCTGTGTGAGCCCATGGGGTTCCGACACTGTCTGTGTCCCCACAGGTGCGTGACAGACAGTGGGAGAGGTTCTGGATGTGAATGCGTGACCATGTGGCCATGCAGGATTAATGCCATGACTGGGGGATTCTGGGTGTGATAGTGAGTCTCTTGTTTTGATCAGAACCCACTTAGGGCTGGGTGCAGTGGCTTGCACCTGTCATCCCAGCACTTTGGGAGGCCGAGGCGGGCAGATCACCGGGTCAGAAGTTCGAGACCACCCTGGCCAACATAGTGAAACCCCGTCTCTACTAAAAGTATAAAAATTAGCTGAGTGTGGTGGCGGGCATCTGTAATCCCAGCTACTCGGGAGGCTGAGGCAGGAGAATTGTTTGAACCCGGGAGGTGGAGGTTGCAGTGAGCTGAGATGGCGCCAGTGCACTCCAGCCTGGGTGACAGGGCGAGAGTCCGTCTGAAAAAGAAAAAAAGAAAAAAAACCCACTTAGGAGGTCGTGCTAGCAGGTATGACAAGTGACCACATGACTCTGGGGTGTCTGATTATTGCTCTGTCTGTGCCATCGTGCAGCAGTGGCTGTGTGTGACATGCAGATGTATAGTGTGGGGTGCACGTTTCCAAAACAGGCCCACTGCCCGCCCTCCCTGAGTGCCCATTGTCTGGGGAGACAGGCACGTGACCGCCGTGATGGTGGAGGCAGGGCTGCTGGTCCTGTTCATGCTTCTGTCTGCCCCCCGCCCCCGTCTCTCCTCCCCACCAGATTCTGTGCTGAACGCCTGCGGTCCCTGCTGCACACCCTGGAGATCACCGACCTTGCTGACTTCTCCCCGCTCACCCTCCTTGCTAACTTTGCCACCCTTGTCAGCACCTACGCCAAAGGTAAGCTCACCTTTTTCTGTCCCTGCTGGGCCTCCTAGGAGCTGGAATCAGGGTCGAAGCAGAGTCTAGAGGGTTGTTGGCAGGAACTTGGACACACAGGGCTTTGTGGGGCTTGGCTTGGAAATGTGGGTTTTATTTTGAAGGCAGTGGGGAGCCGTAGATAGTTCTTGAGTAAGCCTTGTGCTCAGATTTATATTTTCACAGACTTCCTCGGGCTGCAGAGTGGAGAAGGATGGCGTGGGCAGTGGGAAGGGATGAGGCCAGAGAAGCTCTATGGGGTCAGCTCACACTAGAGGGCATGGTAATGAGTTGATCATTTTGCTCCTAGGGGCACTGGAAAGCCATGGTAGGTTCTAGCAAGCAAAGTGCCAGGTCAGATTTGTGCTTTTTTTTTTTTTTTTCTGAGACGGAGTCTCCCTCTATTGCCAGGCTGGAGTGCAGTGGTGTGATCTCGGCTCACTGCAGCCTCCGCCTCCTGGGTTCAAGCAATTCTCCTGCCTCAGCCTCCCCAGTATCTGGGACTACAGGTGCGTGCCACTACGCCCAGCTAATTTTTGTATTTTTAATAGAGATGGGGTTTCACCATGTTGGCCAGGATGGTCTTGATTTCCTGACCTCATGATCCACCCGCCTTGGCCTCCCAAAGTGCTGGGATTACAGGCGAGAGTCACTGCGCCCAGCCCAGATTTGTGCTTTGGAAAGACTTCTTCTGGGTGCCGGAGGTGGTAGCTCACGCCTGTAATCCCAGCACTTTGGGATGGTGAGGCAGGCAGATGACCTGAGGTGTCAGGAGTTCGAGACCAGCCTGGTCAACATGGCAAAACCCCATCTTTACTAAAAATACAAAAATTAGCCACGGCCGGACATGGTGGCTCACGCCCGTAATCCCAGCAGTTTGGGGGGCTGAGGTGGGCAGATCACTTGAGGTCAGGAGTTTGAGACCAGCCTGACCAACATGGTAAAACCCTGTCTTTACTAAAAATACAAAAATTTGCCAGGTGTGGTGGCGGGCTCCTGTAATCCCAGCTACTTGAGAGGCTGAGGCAAGAGAATTGCTTGAACCCAGGAGGCAGAGGTTACAGTGAGCCAAGATTGTGGCACTGCACTCTAGCCTGGGCGACAAAGCAAGACTTGGTCTCAAAAAAAAAAAAAAAAAAAAAAATAGGCCGGGCGTAGTGGCTCATGCCTGTAATCCCAGCACCTTGGGAGGCCGAGGTGGGTGGATCACCTGAGGTCAGGAGTTCGAGACCAGCCTGACCAATATGGTGAAACCCCGTCTACTAAAAATACAAAAATTAGCTGGACGTGGTGGTGCATGCCTGTAGTTCCAACTACTCAGGAGGCTGAGACAGGAGAATTGCTTGAACCCGGGAGGCAGAGGTTGTAGTGAGCTGAGATCGCACCAGCTGCACTCTAGCCTGGGCAAAAACAAGAGTCCGTCTCAAAAAAGAAGAAAGAAAGATTTCTTGTGGCAGGCAGGGACCTGAGCACAAGGGGAGGGGGCCTTGACCAGGATGTGGCCATGGTGAGAGAGAAAGGTATGGTTTGGAGAGAGATGTGGGAGGTAGAGGCTGGGATGTGGGGAGCATGGTGTCTGGGTTTCGGGACCTGGGACAAGAGGAGTAGAGGCTGATGTTCAGATTTTCAGGTTGTGAGAGAGAGGCATCATTCTGGAGGCTTTATGGGCCAGTGTTCCCTCCCCGTCCTCAGCGTGAAGCTCACCAGGGGTTCAGTCTGCCTCCTGGGGGTTTCTCCTGTACCCAGGAAACCGGATCAGGCCTCATGTCCTGTGGCAGGGCCTGACAGGAGGATGGAGATCTGGGCCCTTGCCCCAGGGCTGGGTAGCGAGGCCTGCTGGCTGCTGCTTCTGCCTCTGTCTCTGTGTCCTGCCCCATCTTCCATCCCTGCCTTTGTCGTTCTCTATCCACTGTTTCCCATCTGCCAACACCTCATGTTCTTTCACCTGGAGCATCCTTCCTCATCTTCCTCATCCCCCAGCCACCTCCCCCTCATCCTTAGGTTCTCAGCTTAGTAGAGATGTTTCCTCCAGGAAGCCCTCCCTGACCCACAGGCTGAGTCAGGCCCCTCCTCTGGGCACCTGTGTCCCAGCACTGCCTACTCTCAGTCATCCCTGTCTGAGGACAAGTCTGTCTCCTGTTGGACCGTGAACCCATGCAAGCAGCGGCAAGGCTGGCTTGGTCACCACTGTGTCCCCAGCACAGACGATTTGATTTTTTTTTCACTGCATGAAACTGAATATATAAATTCATTCATTCATTTATTTCTTCAACAAACGGGCCAGGCTTAGCACTGTGGAAGCAGCAGGAACCAAAAAAGATCTCATTCCTAACCCCCCAGAACTTATATTCCAGAGGGGGAAAACAGTAGCAAAGATGCAGTCAAATAAACAAGGAAAAAATTCCAGAAAGTGGCAGTTATCATGAAAAAAAAATACGTTGTTGCATTGGAATATGTCTGCTTAGAAAAGGTGGCTGGGGAGGGCCTTTCAGAGGGGCTGACTTTTGAGCAGTCTCAGATGATCAAGTGGAGCCACCTCGGGAGGTTTTCCAGGCCACATGGGACCAGCAAGTGGAAACACCCTGGGGGGACTGAGCCTGCTGAGTTTTGAAGGTCAGGCACCAGGCCACTGGAGGTGTGTGGGGTCATGGGAGGCTTCTGGGGGGGGGGGGGGGCGGAGGTGATATGGCCGGGCTCAGGTTTCCATAGGGTCCCTCTGGCTGCCGTGAAGTGAGCAGGAGATGATGGGTCCAGGCAGGAGGTGATGGTGGCTGGCCCCAGGTGGAGTCGGGGGCAGTGGTCAGATTGCAGGTAGGTTTTGGAGGCAGAGCTGCCTGGCTTTGCTGATGGCTTAGGTAGAAAGGTCGTGGAAGGCCAGGCGCAGTGACTCATACTTATAATCCCGGCACTTTGGGGGCCTGAGGCGGGCGGATCACTGGAGGTCCCCCATCTCTACTAAAAATACAAAAATTAGCTGGGTGTGTTGTAGAGGGGTGTACCTGTAATCCCAGCTACTCAAGAGGATGAGGCGGGATAATCAATCACTTGAACCCGGGAGGCAGAGCTTGCAGTGAGCTGAGATCACGCCACTGCACTCTAGCCTGGGCAACAGAGCGAGACTCCATGTCAAAAAACAAACAAGAAAAGGTCCTGGGAGAAAGCTTCAGGCTCTGGCTCCTGGCTTTGGCGTGGGTGCTGGGGGGCCCCTGCAGTACTGGGAGAGTGAGCAGTGGGTGGGGCTGTGGCGCTCTCTACTTGGGATCCTTCGTGAAAGTTTGCACAGGTGTGGGCCCTGTGGAGAGGCAGAAAGACTGGGGTGTATTTTGGACTCAGATGCCTGGTTTGGAGCTTAAGCAGCTCATGTTTGGTCCCATTCACTCCCAGGCAGTAGGGGATGGAGATCGGGGTGAAGCAAGGGAGCGGGAGAGGGAATGGCTGAGTGGGTGCAGCTGTGGCTGTAGTGGGGGAATCTCACCCGTCCTTGCCTGCCCTCTGCAGGCTTCACCATCATCATCGAGCCCTTTGACGACAGAACCCCAACCATTGCCAACCCCATCCTGCACTTCAGGTGGGACCCTGCCCGGTGGGGGTGTGATTGCACTGTGGGTCAGGGGCCCAGCCCCCCGGGCCCTCACCGCCCTCATCTCTCTCCAGCTGCATGGATGCCTCGCTGGCCATCAAACCTGTATTCGAGCGCTTCCAGTCTGTCATCATCACGTCTGGGGTGAGGACCCTTCTCCTGTTCCTCCCAGTCCCTGGCCTCCCTCCATGGGCCTCCTGGTCCCTGCCCAGTCCTGCTGAGATCCCTCCCACTGTCCCCCCTACAGACACTGTCCCCGCTGGACATCTACCCCAAGATCCTGGACTTCCACCCCGTCACCATGGCTACCTTCACCATGACGCTGGCCAGGGTCTGCCTCTGCCCTATGGTGAGTGGGAGAGGCTAGGGCTGGGACTGGGAGGGGAGGTGGGAGCAAGGGGCTGCGTCCCTTCCTTGGCTTCCCCCACTGCTCAGGCAGGAGAGTTTTACAGTAAAGAGGCCGGGTTTGGGATTCAGACAGACTTAGGCTTGATTCTGCTTCTGCGGGGGTACAACTCTCAAGCCTCAGTTTTCTCATCTGTGAAATGGGAATGTATCCTCCCTGATCTCCCAGGGCAGTTGAGAGGATTGAGACAACTGGGGTGAAACACTTAGGTAGCCCAGGGTCTGGCACAGGTAGGCACTTACTTAGCATCTTGGTTAACGTGGCTTTGCCAGGTACATGGTCTGGCTGTGACCCAGGTAAGTGGGCCTTCCTGTCCATCTCCATCTCTGTAACATGTGCATGTCAACATGGGCCCTCAGTCCCTTATCTGAAGTCCCGAGGCTGGTTTTTTGTTTTGAGACGGACTCTTGCTCTGCTGCCCAGGCTGGAGTGCAGTGGCACGGATCTCGGCTCACTGCAAGCTCCGCCTCCCGGGTTCACGCCATTCTCCTGCCTCAGCCTCCCGAGTAGCTGGGACTACAGGCGCCCGCCACCTCGCCCGGCTAGGTTTTTTTGTATTTTTTTGGTAGAGACGGGGTTTCACCGTGTTAGCCAGGCTGGTCTCGATCTCCTGACCTCGTGATCCGCCCGTCTCAGCCTCCCAAAGTGCTGGGATTACAGGCTTGAGCCACCGCGCCCGGCCCCCAGATCTCGGCTTACTGCAACCTCTGCCTCCTGGATTCAAGTGATTCTCGTGCTTCAGCCCCCTGAGTAGCTGGGATTACAGGCATGTGCCACAACGCCCGGCCAAATTTTGTATTTTTAGTAGAGACAGGGTTTCACCATGTTGGCCAGGCTAGTCTCAAGTGATCTGCCCACCTGGTCCTCCCAAAGTGCTGAGATTACGGGTGTGAGCCACTGCGCGCAGCCATTTGTTTTGGAATTCAGAATTTTCCAGCCTTTAGAGACAAGGCATATGCTGTGTAGTGTGTGATGCCCCCAGTGGGGTCTGGGTGGCTCCCCCGAGTCAAACTCCTATTTTGCAGTAAAAGATTTGGAAGCATCACATTAAGGAGTAAGTCAGGCCTCTGCAGAGACTCGGGGCAGGGCAGGTTTTGCTACTTAATGAGTTTGTGCCAAACTGGAAAAAGAAATGTGTTCAGAGCTTTTGGCTTTTGGAGTTGCCTGTCAGAGGTTGTGGACCAGTGATGACCACCCACTGCATGGTGGTTGTGTGAGGTTGCCGGCTGGCGGGGATGCCCACCGGCATAGTGAGGGGTGTTCTTCGGGATCCGGCTGGCCTGGGGCCTGGGGCTGGCTAGAGGGTAGCTGCTGGTGGAGAGTGTGGACAGACTCGGGTCCAGTTCCATCTTTGCCACCTATTTGCTGTGTGACCTTGGGCAGGCAACTCACCTTTTCTGAGGCCAGGTCATTTGTGCAATGCAGATAACAGGGTAGCTGAGGGTTCATTCAGTGACATTGTGTTATAAAAAGTTTAGAGCAGACTGGGTGTGGTGGCTCACTCCTGTAATCCCAGCACTTTGGGAGGCCAAGGTGGGACAGTCGCTTGAGGCCAGATGTTCAAGACCAGACTGGGCAACATGGTGACACCCTGTCTCTATTAAAAAAAAAAAAAAAAAAGCTTAGAACAGCACCAGCAGGTGGTCAGCACTCACACGCTGGAGCAATTGCTGCTGCCTCGCTTATCATGACCTCTGTTGCTCTCTTCAGATCATCGGCCGTGGCAATGACCAGGTGGCCATCAGCTCCAAATTTGAGACTCGGGAGGATATTGGTATGCTGCCAGTGGGGCTAGTTTCTGTGGGTTCCAAGAGGGAGGTATATCAGTCAGATGGGCTGAGTCACGCTGCTGTAACAAACATCCCTGGCCTTAGTTGCTTAGCCCAGAGCTTCCTTCTTGCCTGTGGGACACGTCCACTGTGAGCTGGTAGGGGGCCTGCCCTGTGTCTCCTCACCTGGGAACCTCCACCGCTGGGTGCGTCAGAGGCAGCATGATGTGACAGGTGGGATCACAGTGGTCACAGTGCATTGTGCACTGGTTCCTAAGGGTGCTCCCCTGGAAGTGACACATGGCCTTTTTTTGAGACAGTCTTGCTCTGTTACCTAGGCTGGAGTGCAGTGGCATGATCTCAGCTCACTGCAACCTCTGTCTTGTGGGTTCAAGCAGTTCTCGTGCCTCAGCCTCCCAAGCAGCTGGGTTTATAGGCATCTGCCACCACGCCAGGCTAATTTTTGTATTTTTAGTAGAGATGGGGTTTTGTCATGTTGGCCAGGCTGGTCTCAAACTGTTGACCTCAGATGATCACCCACCTCGACCTCCCAAAGTGCTGGGATTACAGGCGTGGGCCGCTGCGCCTGACCCCTTCTGCACTGATTTCATTGGCCATGGCAAATTACATAGCCAGGTGTGACTTCAGGAAGTGGCAAGGAGGGACCTCAAACACACCTGGGAGGAGGAGGGAAGGGGATGTGTGTGAATAGCCTGACAGCCAGCCTCAGTGCGGTTTCCAGAAACTCCTAGTTTGAAGACAGAGAAGGGAGGAGGACCTGAGACAGGAGAGGGCCTAACCTCTGACTCCTCACAGCTGTGATCCGGAACTACGGGAACCTCCTGCTGGAGATGTCTGCTGTGGTCCCTGATGGCATCGTGGCCTTCTTCACCAGCTACCAGTACATGGAGAGCACCGTGGCCTCCTGGTATGAGCAGGTATGCCTGGCCACCCCCTCCCTGCACTTGTTCTCCTCAGCCCCTGGCACTACACTGCTATGTCAGCTTCATTCCTCTTACCCTCTGATGGTGACAGGTGTCCTGTGTGACAGGAGAGTGCATGTAGCATGTAGGAATGGGGTGTAAGCAGCACACACCCTATGCCCCGCCCCCAGTACATCAGGCTGAGAACGCAGACATAAGCCCCAATGTGGGCCCCTCCCTCAGAGGAGTACTCTGTGGCGGAGTCACCCCCACCTTCTAGGTTCCTTGCTCCCCTGCTGCTCTTTGGGGCGACCCCATCCCTGTGATCCTCCAGCACAGATGTCCTGGTGGGGAGGCCCAGGTAGCAGGTGTCACTCTATCTAGGTTAGAGGAAGGTTCTAGAGAATCAAGGCTGGACTGAGACTCAGGGCAAAGCCTCTCAAGGGTCTGCAGGAGCCCTTTCAGGGAAGCAGGCAGAGGAAGTCATGGGGCATTTTGGAAACAGGGCTCACCACAGCCAGGCCCTGGGTGGGAGGGGAGGCCACTCTGCACTTTGTGCCTCTGAGCTCACTATGGCCAGGCTCTCAGAAGTGGGTGAAAGCACTTTGGGGCGAGGTGAGTGAACTTGGCTAATCCGAGTATTGGAATGGCACTCATGGGAGGCAGGAACCTCATCCTCACAGCCAGGACCTTGGCCTTGTGCTTCAATAGGTGGCTTCCACACAGCGGAAAGGTGATCCACTCCCCACAGCCCAGGTGCCTTTCGTGTCCTATTTAAGACAACTTTGTCTTAAATACCTCAAGGTCATGAAGAGAGGCTGCTGTGTTTCCTTCTAGGAGCTTGTGGTTTTAGCTTTCACATCTAGGTCTATGAGGTACCTCAAATTCATCTTTCTATATGGTGTAAGATAGGGGGTCAAGGTTCATTTTTTGGTTCCATTTGGAAATCCACTTGCTCCGGTAAAAGCTGTCCCCACTGAACTGCACAGGTGGCTGTGTTTCTGGACTCTCCATTTTGTCCCACTGGTCTGTGTCTGTCCTTGTACTGGCTCCACACTGTCTGTATGGTAGTGTCATCTGGGAAGTCTCAGGGCAGCCTCTGATTGACTCTCCCTGCCTTACAGTCAGCCCCTCCACCAGTCGCTGGCAGGGGATGAGGTGCCCTGATTGGCCACCCCCTTGAGCCACATGCCTGCCCCACTTATCCAGCAGTGATTGGTTCCCCACCCAGATCACTAAGTTCCCCCCAAAGAAGTAAGGTTGGACAATTCCACTCTCCCTCCCCACATCTCAGATGAGCCAGCTGAGGCCCAGAGAAATAGTGATGTAGGAGAGTTGGATATAACCAGGATGGCCATACCCTGAACCCACCTTCTGCCACCCCCACCCTGACCTCCCTGGGTCCTTCCCCAGGGGATCCTTGAGAACATCCAGAGGAACAAGCTGCTCTTTATTGAGACCCAGGATGGTGCCGAAACCAGTGTCGCCCTGGAGAAGTACCAGGAGGTGGGTGTGTGAGGCCAGCGTGGAGGGGGTGGGGAGGTGGCTCCGAGGAGTGACCCAACTTGCATCTTGCCTCCCCACCTCAGGCCTGCGAGAACGGACGCGGGGCCATCCTGCTGTCAGTGGCCCGGGGCAAAGTGTCTGAGGGAATCGACTTCGGTGAGTGGACTCGCTCTTCCTCCCCAGGTGTCTTCCCAGAGCTCTCTGGAACACCTGCCTGCTCTGCTGTCTGCTCCTGCGGGGGACCACCCACCCACAGCCTGGGTGCACAGAGGGACCCTCCCCTCCCCTCTGTCCCTAGGCACCCGGCGGGAGCACACCCTCTCTCTCCCACTCAGACACAGCATCCTGGGGCGCGTGAGGCTGTCCCTGTCCCACCAGCCACACTTGTAACTCCCCTCGACCCCTCTCCTCTGCCCACCAGTGCACCACTACGGGCGGGCCGTCATCATGTTTGGCGTCCCCTACGTCTACACACAGAGTCGCATTCTCAAGGTGAGTAGCTCTGGCTCCCAGAAGTCCCAAAGTGTTAGGGCCAGGGGAGGGACGGCTCCCCAACTCCTCGTCCTTCATTTCTGCAGGCACGGCTGGAATACCTGCGGGACCAGTTCCAGATTCGTGAGAATGACTTTCTCACCTTCGATGCCATGCGCCACGCAGCCCAGTGTGTGGGTCGGGCCATCAGGGGCAAGACGGACTACGGCCTCATGGTCTTCGCCGACAAGGTGCAGGTTCAGGGGTGCCCCTGTGCTCCCACCCCAGCCTCCGAGAACCAGGCTATTTGACCGTGCATCTCCCAGATGGGGTGTGTCACAGGGTGGAGGGGGGCCCAGGCTCCCCAACTCGGGTCCTGACGTCCTCTCCCTCACCTGCGCTTCTGCCCACAGCGGTTTGCCCGTGGGGACAAGCGGGGGAAACTGCCCCGCTGGATCCAGGAGCACCTCACAGATGCCAACCTCAACCTGACTGTGGATGAGGGTGTCCAGGTGGCCAAGTACTTCCTGCGGCAGATGGCACAGCCCTTCCACCGGGTGAGGCCTGCATCCCCCTCCCAGCATCCTCCCAGGCTGAGCTCCTCCTCCAGAAAGGCCCCTTGGATTCTCCCCACTCCCCAGCCTGCCCTCCTGCCCTCCACAGAGAGAAGTTTATTGTGCATCTACATGCCGGGCTCTGGGGGGTAGGGAGAGATTCGAGGGGCCGCAGGTGGCCCAGGCAAGGCAGGGTGAGAGAATTTGGGGTGAGGAGGTATCAGGCATTGAGACTGTGCTGGCCTGGGGAAAGCCCGTCCTTCTTCGACTCCCTGGCTGGCTCTTCCCTCAGCGCCCTCTGATGTGGACAGGAATGGCCCGCTCTGGATTATACTGACATCTCCAAATTCAAACATCCTGGCCCTCATGTCTCAGACCCCTAATGCCGATCGGGGGCAGGTGGTCAGGGAAGTACAGCAGCTGCCTTTCTGACAGTGCCCCCCTTACTTTCGTCTGTTCTCTGCAGGAGGATCAGCTGGGCCTGTCCTTGCTCAGCCTGGAGCAGCTGGAATCAGAGGAGACACTGCAGAGGATAGAGCAGATCGCTCAGCAGCTCTGAGCAGGGTGGGCAGAGCCATAAATGATTCCTGGTGACTCCTGAGTCTTGCCTGGCCCTGGGTCCCAGCAGCTCCGAGGCTGCAGCGGGGGTGGTGCTGGAAGGTCTTATAAACTCAGGTGAGATTCCTCACTGTCACATCCACGGCCTTTAATCGCAGAAGAGGGCAGGGGGCACCTAAGAGATGATAGACCTCCCCTCGCCCCCCACCAGCCCATCCCTCCCGCACTGTTCCCGAGAAGCTGAGGCCAACACAGGTCACTGGATGTTAGCGGGGGCTCAGGTCCTGGGTGCTGGCGCTGAGGGTCCGAGGGGCCTTGTCCAGGTGCCAGCTGGGGAACTGGAGACAGGCACAGGGGATGGTTGGAGGGGAGGTGAGGGGCAGGTGCTGTGTCCAGCCTGGCAGCCAATCATCTACCCATCTCACCTCTACCCCAAGTAAAACCCATCTTTGCTCCTGTCCTGGGTCTATTCTAACACCAACCTCCACCTGCTGAATCTGACGCCGGCCCGACCACCCTGCTTTTGCCTTATCTCTGCACCTACCCACGTGGCCCCACTCCATTTTTGACCCCAGGGTCCCCTCACCTGAGTCCCAGGAGCCCTTGGGCCATCCACATTCAGTATGTTGAGTGACATAGCTCTCTTCATTCTGCAAAGGGGGCAGCAGGGAAGAAACAAGTGAATCTAGGAGTGGCCCCCCTCCAGGAGGGAGCTTTCCAGCACAGGATTTGATCTGTGTGTATCACAGGGGAGATGGGAGCCATGGAAGGTTCTTGAGCAGGAGGGGTGGGGGGTGGGCTGTGAATTCTGCTGATGTCAGGGCTCTTTGCCGACCTGATCCACACTCACCCGGCCGCCCCCGCCGCCCCTTCGCCTCGGAGGCGGGAGACCAGCTTCTCACTTCCTCGCCGGATAGACTCGCGGATCTTAGAGAGGGAGCTGCTGCGGCGAAGGGCCTGGGGAGAGGCCAGGATGCTGCTAATATCCCTGAGCCCATGCAGTCCCCACGCCTTCCCCAGGAGCCTAAGCACAGCCCATCCTCACCTGTTCTGTGTCACCAGCTGTGCCTGTGTTGGGGGCACCTAGGGGAAAGATGGGGGACACTGAGATGGGGATGTAGAAAAGCTACTAGGAGGGAAGGCAGGGGCTCAGGGCTCACCGAGAGGGGCAGGTAGATTCTCCTTGTGGAGGATTTCTTTATACAGCTCTTCCGCTTGTTGGTACTTGTTCTGTTTCAGGTAGGCTGAGGCCTGTGGAGAAGGGAGTGTCTTGGGTGATCTTGGCTCTAGTCTGGGAACTTTTCGGACCCTAGTTCCCAACACTGCATCCAGTCCCACTTTTTTTTTTCTGTAGAGACAGGGTCTTGGTATGTTGTCCAGGCTGGTCATGAACTCCTGGCCTCAACTGATCCTCCTGCCTTGGCCTCCCAAAGTGCTGGGGTTACAGGCATGAGCCACCACGCCTGGCCCCAGTCCCACTTTCTACTGTGCTGACCTGGCCCCATCCCGCCCCTGCCTAAAGCCTTGCCCTGGGGTAGAGGGGGTTTGGAGTTCCGCCCTACCTCCTGCGTGGGGGATGGAGGGCAGGCAACCTCCTGTTTCTGAGCCTCTCTGTTCTACTTTGGGCTGGTGGCATGGCCTCTCTTCTCACATGCAAAGTAGAGCGACAGCTCCTACCTCATAGGGACACTGTAAGAACTAGTGATGTGGGGACCGAGCCTAGAGGGGAGCCGGCCACAGTGAGCTCAATAAATGTCGGCTGCTGCCATCTGTGCCTGCCAGCTTCCCCTTCACTGACTGTCCTCTGGATGCCGTGGACTCACGCATTTCCTGATTCCGTGTTCTGTGCTGAGCCAGCTCCTGTGTCTGATGGGACACTTGCTCTAAGGGCCCTGCCTCAGGGGGACCCCTCCCCATGGTGCTCACCCTGTATCCAACCAGTGGGTGCCTCCCCAGGGCAGACCCTCCACTCCGGGCCCACTCAGCCCCAGGGGCCTCACCAGGTTGTTCTTGGTCTTGGCCACGTTGGGGTCCTGGGGCCCGCCCAGGGTCTCATAGATGCTCAGGGCCCGGGCGTAGTGCCGCTCCACGTCCTCAAACTTGCCCTGGTTCTGGCACAGCAGGGCCAGGTTGTTGAGCTGCTTGGCCACATCGGGGTGGTCAGCACCCAGGACCTGGGGGCCAGGGGTCACAAGTCAGAGGGGTCATACAGGATTGGTGGGACACGTGACATCACTTCTGTATGGTGGTCACAAGTGAGGGATTACAGGGCCAAAGCAGAGTGACCTGAGAGGTTGGGGGCTGGGGCACAAGTGACACCATCGAGCGGGATTACTGAGGTCAGAGGCCATGGTGATCCAGAAACTCGCGGGGCACAAGGTGAGATGGGTAGGTCAGGGCTGGGCTTGTGCCAGTGGCCATGAGGGGTTGGAAAGGCTGTGGCGGGACCTAGTTGGGGGGTGGCGTGTGAGGTAAGGCGAGAGGTCAGAGTCAGGGTCAAGACCAAACTGGGATCTCAGAAGGTCGAGGGTGATGGGTTGGGCTCCAATTGGGGTCTCCTGGTACCAAACGCAAGGGGCCCAAGGATCAGGGTCGCGATGTAAGTGCTCAGGATCCATGGAGAGGGCTACAAGGGGTTCCTCGGGGTTGGGTAAGGGGGATGGGACCTTCTCTCGGATCTCCAAAGCGCGCTGGCACAGGGGCTCTGCCTCCCGGTAGCGCCCGCGCTTCCCATAGAGGACAGCCAAGTTGTTGAGCGTGGCAGCCACCTGTGGGGTTGGGGACACAGGTCAGGGATGGGCAGGGATAGGCAGGCACGGCCCCACTTCGTCTCCCTGGGGCCCCACTCACCGCAGGGTGCTCAGGGCCCAGCGTCTGCTCCCGGATCTGCAGGGCATCATGGAGGAGGTCTGTGGCTTCTTTGTACTTGTTCTGGTCCCTGCGGGGAAGCCCAGGGGTGGCGGGGGTTGGCGGGGTTGGGGCAGCTGCAGCCACAGGGGCTGGGCTGATCCTGGCAGGTCCAGGGAACCTGGCTGAACCAAGCATGGGTAGCACCCTTTGGGGGCCTTTTGGGGGCCCTTCCATACCTTCCAATTCTCTAACACCAGGCCCTGTATCCCCAGACCTCTGCCAAGCCTCTAACCACCCCAGTGCTCTTGCCTGCTCTGTTGGGGTCCCTGGTGTCTGTGTTCTGACTCCTCTCTGCCTGGCTCAGTGCCCCCCCCCACCCGCCAGATCCCTGGCCCACTCCCTCTTTGCCGTTCTTATAGCAGGAGCCTTCCCCTTTTCCATTCTGGCTGTCCCCTGCTCTGACCTCCCCCGGTGCTCCATGGTGGCAGAGGGGGCACCAGGGTCCCTCCACTTGCACCCAATGGGTCCCTGCCGTTCCTGCCCCCTGCCATGGCCGGCCGCAGCTCTCACCGGTACACCAGCGCCAGGATGTTGAGCATGGTGGCCACGTCAGGGTGGCAGTGGCCCGAGCTGCGCTCCAGGTCCTCCAAGGCCTGGCGGCACAGGGGTACCGCCACCTCATACCGGCCCTGCCCCGCATACTGGATCACAAGGTTATGCAGGGTCCGAAGGCGGGCAGGGATCTCATAGCCACCCTGCTGAGCTGCTGCTGCTCCTGCGGCCTCAGGACCTGGGTGGGGCAGGGTGGGCTCTGGGTCACTGCAAGCCTCCTAAGCCTCCTGCCCTCCATCCTCGCACGAGGAGACACACCCCAGACTGCCTCACTGGCCCCTGGGACTATGGGCCCCCGTGTTAACTTGAGATTAGAGTCACTAGCATCTAACCAGCTGGTGGGATGCATCCTGGCCTCGGGACAGGTACATGGCGGCCCACCTGCCCTGCAAGATGTGAATACAGGGCCTGCCGGGCTCATGGCAGCTACCCTGTCTTCGCAGTTCCCGGCCTCACCTGCTCATTGTCACATTCAGGGTCCTCCTGACCCTGCCCTCACCTCCCCATCCCTGTTCAGAGACTTTGGGGTCCTGCAGCTCAGAGCCCGCTCCCCACCCTGGCCCGCCATCATCTGTGGCATGTACTCCCGACACCCACCTTTCCTCTCCTCCTCCTCGCTGGGGAACAAGGAGGCCAGGCTATCTCGGCGAGGCGGGGACTCAGACTGCTGCAGGGACAGGAAAGTGGGGGGCCGGGGGAGTGGGGGCTTGTTTCAGAGACTGGAGCCCCGCATCTATCTCGGGGTTTGAGGGAGGTGGTGATCATGAGCGTCAGGAGCCCCTTGGGGGACTGGCGAGGCCCGGGGGCTTCAGGGAACAGCTAGTGGGGGCGTCTGCGGAAGTTCTGGTGGGTCTGGGGGCTCTGTGGAGGGTTGGGGGACTGGGATTCTAAGGAGGGTCTGGGGAACTGTGGGGCTCTGTGAAGGGCCCGGCACCCCCACCTTGCCCTGCCCATGGCACCTGGGTCTCTGTGGGCGGGTCGTACTGTCGCAGCTGCCCCAGGAACTCCAGGTGGCGCTTTTCCTCCTCTAACTGGGCCACGGCCTCCTCGCTGGCCCGAAGCCGCCGCTGTGTCTCCTCCAGTTCCTCCCGCAGCCACACGTTCTCCTGGGCCAGCCGCCGGGCCTGCGATCGCAGCCGCTGCTTCTCTGCCTCCAGTGCACCCACATGTGCAGACAAGGCCAGCAGCACCTGCCCAGAGTGGGGGTCCCAAGTCGAGGTTGGTTCCTACCCTGCCAGACAGCCTCTGACCCAGCCCAGACCTCGAATCAGGCCGCTGCACCCCACTACTATGCACAACACCCCCAGATTCTGCAGAGACTCCACCAGCATGGCTCCAGTGCCCTCAGAGGCTCTGAGCGGCCCCTCTGATTTCACCCCCGAAGTTGCCCTAGCACCCACAGTTTACTGAAGAATGCCATCTGGTTCAGGGGTCCCTGTCACATACAAGGACCCCCTAGAACTGCCAAGGGACTCCATCTCTGGCCTGGAGCCTCACCTTCCCAGGCCTCGTTCCCCTAGGCTTCCGCCTGCCCCAGATGTGCCTTTCTGCCATACTTTTTTTTGTTGTTTTTTCAAATAGTCTCTGTCACCCAGACTGGAGTGGAATGGCACTATCTCCACTCACTGCAACCTCCACCTCCCAGTTTCAAGTGATTCTCATGCCTCAGCCTCCCGAGTAGCTGGGATTACAGGAGCCCTCATGCCCAGCTCATTTTTGTATTTTTAGTAGAGATGGGGTTTTGCCATGTTGGTCAGGCTGGTCTTGAACTCCTGACTTCAAGTGATCTGCCCATCTCAGCCTCCCAAAGTGTGCCCCTCAGCAATAGTGAACCCCTCTCCCAGTCCCCTGCATACCTGTCCCCCTCATACCTGGTCCTCCCTCCGCCCTCAGTTTATCCTCTCCCAGTTCCCCACCTGGCCCCCTCATACCTGGGCCTCGCCCAGCCCCAGCTCGATGGCCTCCAGCGAGTGGCTCACCACCTGCTGCTTTTCCTCCAGCATCTCCAAGCCAGTCGCTGGGCCCTGTCCCGCCAGGGCCTCTGCCAGGTGCCCAGCCAGGCCACGGTGCTCTGCCCGCAGCGCCTCTAGCCCCTGGACCACTTGCCGTGTCTGCCGTACCAGCTCCTCAGGGCTCAGGCGCTCTGGGCCCAGCCCCGCACTTCCGGGAGCTGCCACCTGCACAGACATTGCTGCTCCTGGGGTGCAATGGTGAGGGGTTTGGGAAATCATTGCCCAGGCCAGTCAGTTGGCCCCCACCCTCTATTCCCATAATGGCCATCAGGACCCCTAACTTCTCCCCATCTTGGCTCTTCCCTGCTCCACCCATCCTGGCCAGCCCTCTGCCTCCACACCCTCTCCATCCCAGTCTCCACACCCATCCCAGCCAGCTCTCATCTGGAACAGTCTAGTCTACCTTCGTCTGTCCTCCCAACCCAGGGTTCTGCCCGGAGGACAGTTCCCAAATCCTATGTGTAATTAACCAAGAGAAGGCAAACAGCTAGCCTGGGCTCCCCCATTTGCTCTCAGCTCACCTGGCCAGCCTTCCCCACCCCAAGGCCCCTGGATCCCCTGGCCCAGAGCTCCCGACCTGGGACCAGAGGCACCCTCCTCTGCCAGACGAGTGGGGCGGGGCGTGTGGAGGCGGCAGCCTCTGCGTGAGCTCATTCTTAGGGTGTTTTTGTTGGGAACCAGTCAGACCACTGGGGGTGGGTGGGGTGGGAGGAGAGGGCTGAGGGGCCAGGGCCCGTGGAAGCCCAAGAGGCCTCTAGGCTGGGGGGAGTGAGGACGGGGCCATGTGTTGGCTCCCAGGCAGCAGATGGACCCTGGGGGAACAGGGGCTCTGCCCTCCTCCATCAGACAGGCTCAGCCAGCCCAGGGCCTGTCGGGACACACGTGTGATAGGTGTGGTCCAGGGATGTCACACTGGCCATGTGACAGCTGAGAGTCTGAAGCCCAGCTCATCGTGGGCGGGGCCCCCCCTCTATGGGACTTCATGTGGTTGTATGTGGGTGACAAAGTCACAGAAACTTAGCTGGTGGTGACCCTGGGGTCCTCACAGACACACAAACACACTCCTCAGAAACACACCTCACACACCCGCACCCTCCCTTCTTAAAGACACAATGCAACATACACATTTTCCTCTCCAAAATACAATTTGACACACACACGCACTCTCCCTTCTCTCCAATACAACATGGGGCCAGGTGTAGCGGCTCACGCCTGTAATCCCAGCACTTTGGGAGGCCGAGGCGGGCAGATGACTTGAGGCCAGGAGTTTGAGACTAGCCTGGCCAACATGGTGAAACCCCGTCTCTACTAAAAATACAAAAAAAAAAAAAAAAAAATTAACCAGGGTGGTGGCACATGCCTGTAGTCCCAGCTACTTGGGAGGCTGAGACAGAAGAATTGCTTGAACCCGGGAGGCGGAGGTTGCAGGAAGCCAAGGTCATGCCACTGCAATCCAGCCTGGGCAACAGAGTGAGACTCCATTAAAAAAAAAAATACAAAAAAAACCCACGATACACACACGCACCCTCCCAGAAATACAGTGACACATACACACACACTTCCTCATTAGGAACACAATGTAGCTGGGCATGGTGGCTCAAGCCTGTAATCCCAGCACTTTGGGAGGCCAAGACAGGCGGATCACGAGGTCAGGAGATCGAGACCATCCTGACTAACATGGTGAAACCCCGTCTCTACTAAAAAATACAAAAAACTAGCGGGGCGAGGTGGCAGGCGCCTGTAGTCCCAGCTACTTGGGAGGCTGAGCCAGGAGAATGGTGTGAACCCGGGAGGCGGAGCTTGCAGTGAGCTGAGATCCGGCCACTGTACTCCAGCCTGGGCGACAGAGCGAGACTCCGTCTCAAAAAAAAAAAAAAAAAAAAGAAACACAATGTAGGCCAGGTGCGGTGGCTCACACCCGTACTCCCAGCACTTTGGGATTTTGGTTGAGGCAAGAGGATCAACTGAGCCCAAGAGTTCAAGACCAGCCTGGGAAACATAGTGAGACCCCGTCTCTATAAAAAAAATAAAAATAAAAAAATTAGCCGGGTGTAGTGGTGGTGTTCCTGGAGGCTGAGGTAGAAGGATTGCTTGAACCCAGGAGGTTGAAGGTGCAGTGAGCCATGATAGCGCCACTGCACTCAGCCTGGGCGAGAGAGTAAGACCCAGTCTAGAAAAAAGGAAAGGGAAGGGAAGGGGGAAGGGGAAAGGGGAAAGGGGAAAGGGGAAAGGGAAGGGGAAGGGAAAAGGAAAAGGAAAGACAACATAATATACATTCATCTCTTAGAAATAACAACACGTACTCACTTCTATTAAATATACAACTCAATACAAACACCTACATTTTCCTTTTAGAAATACAACCTAAGACAACACACCGACTCAGGCGCACACATACACTATTCTTTCAAAAACAATCTGTACACACTCCCCTTTTGCAAATCCCACCTAACACACAGGTATATTCTCTTAGAAATAAAAGCCAAGCCCGGGCGCAGTGGCTCACGCCTGTGATCCCAGCACTTTGGGAGGCCGAGGTGGGTGGATCAGTTGAGGTCAGGAGTTTGAGACCAGCCTGGCCAACATGGTGAAACCCCGGCTCTACTAAAAATATAAAAGTAGCCAGGCATAGTGTTATGCATCTGTAGTCCCAGCTACTCAGGAGGCTGAGGCACGAGAATCCCTTGAACCCAAGAGGCAGAGGTTGCAGTGAGCCAAGATCACACCACCACACTCCAGTCTGGGCAACAGAGCGAGACTCCGTCTAAAAAAAAAAAGAAAAAGCCAACCCACGCAGAAACTAACTCTGTCTTTCCCACTCCCCAAATCACTCACATTCAGACCATCTCCTTGTACTTGACCGTGACACTCATTGTCCCCCGAACTCATACAACCCAACTCCCCACAATGTGCCCAACGCACCTTCAGATGCACACACTCCCAGGATTCACTGTGGATCCCTGGCCAGTTTCCCCACTTCCTCTTCCTCCCCCTCCAGGCCTGGCCAGCAGGGACTCCCACACCCACACGCCATGCACTCATGAATACTTGCATTCAGTAGGAACAGAGAGCTGTGAATATGCGTAGAGGGATGCCGCATTCTCACACTCTTCACTCGAGCCACTGCATCCACCATAGGCAGCCCAGCGGTTTCTGCACAGGTTGCACACGCACGATCACATAAAGCGTCCTGTACATTTTGTGCACCACAGACTTGATCATTTTTTAAAAAACTAAACTATGCCTAGCTCATTTTTGTTTTTTTGTAGAGACAGGGTATCACCATATTTCCCAGGCTAGTCTAGGACTCCTGGGTTCAAGCAATCCCCTCGCCTCAGCCTTCCAAAGTGTTGAGATTACAGGTATGAGCCACTGCACCCGGCCAATCTGTGTGCATGTGTATGTCACACCATAGCTAGTCTCACACCTCACTCACAAACATCATGAATGGTTGAACTCACAACCACACAGGCTCATCAAGAATCATCCTGACAACCACAACCACTCTTCACACAATTTTGCCGATGTAACAACCTCCCTCCATAACCTCAGACACAGCCTGACACACACCACTCCACAGCCAGATGGACAACCACAGCAAGCAACACGGCTTCAGCACAGCCATCCGGCACTCGGGCTGTGTCCCAGACACATAGCAGCTCCCACCCTCACACAGAGCCCTGGGTGCAAAACCGCACAGCTGATAATCATAGGCACAGTCCCACACACCGATCCCTGGTGCTGACCCCCTTTTCCATCAGGTCATCTGCTCAGAGGAGCACCCCACCTAAATGTCCACATCTCCACTCCCATCTCCCACACTACACAGCCCCACAACAAACTCTCCATTGCACACCACTGCCAGCCACGGCATCAATGCAGGTCACACACCCTCCAGTTCCTCTCTCTACACACACACACACAGCTTTACACACCTCCACACCTCAGTCATCCAACCCCGAGGTTCCACACACACTGTCCCATGAAACAGTCCCACTTCTGGACACAGTTCCGCCCAGCCCCATACATCATCAGTGACAATCAAAAGTCAATCATAGTCACCTGTCACTGATCCAGTGCCACACACTGTCCACCACACACACACACCCCCCAACAGGCAGAAAGACAACCACAGCTGCACAACTTCTTGGTCAACATTCACACCTAATCCTACAACCAGTTCCACTCCCTGCCACACACACAGCCACACACATGCACATCAGGCCAAGCAGAAAGTTGACTACAGTCGCACTCACTCTTGGTCATAGACATAAAGTGCCACTGACAATCCGATTCTACACACACACCATTCCCATCAGAGGTCGCCCACGTTTTCACATTGCTGAAGGTGTCACATCGTACACACGGTCGCATCACAGGGTTACACGGAGGACAGTCGCTTTCACCCTCATATCCACAGCCTGACACACTCTCTTGCACACACACAAAGCCTCACACACAGGCAGGCAGGAGGCTCCCATCGTGGCCCAGCCCCGCAAACCGCACCACCTTACCCCGGCCGGCCCGGCCCCGCGCACCAGGCTCACCCGCCGTCACAAGGGCCCCCTCCTCCCTCCCTCCCCCTAGGCCCCGCCCCGTCCTCGCTGTTTACCTGCGCCTGGGTGGTGGGCGCGCGGCCCCAGCCAGGCCTCCAGACCCCGGAGAGCCCCAGGACGGGGCAGGGGGCATCTGGGAGCCCCAAGGCCCTTCCCCGTCGCAGGACAAGCGGGCCCAGGGTTGCCCCAGGCCCCATCCTCACCCTTCGCTCCCGCCCCCCATCATCGCGGCTCTCCGAGAGTCCCGCGCCCCACTCCCGGCGCCCACCTGACCGCGGGCGGCTCCAGGCCCCGCTTCACCCCACTGCGCTCGGTCGCGTCCCGCAGGCCAGGCACGCCCCGCCGCTCCCGCTGCGCCGGGCGTCTGGGACCGTGGGCGGCTCCTCCGAGGGGCGGGGCGGCTGGGAGCCACGCCCCCGCAGGTGAGCCGGCCACGCCCACCGCCCGCGGGAAGTTCAGCCTCGTGGCTGCGGCCCCGCGGGAATGGCAGAACTTCGCACGCGGAGCTGGTAACCTCCAGGGCACCTCGAATCAGGGTGATTGCAGCGCAGGGGCCTTGGCGAAGCTAAAACCTTGGAAACTTTAGATCCCAGACCGGTGGCTTTCTTGCAGTGCCTGCCGCGGAGCCTTTTCCTTGTTTGTGTCACCTGCTTCGATCTCTCTTCCCACAGATCTCATCGTCTTTAGGTCTCTTCTCAAAGGCCACCTCCTCCAGCAAGCCTTCCCTGATTGCCCCCTTCTAAATGGCACCCTTCCACTAAAACATTACATACTCCTCTTGATTTTGTTCACAAAACTTTTCAGGGCCTAAAATTTTTTTATTTTTTTTATTGAGAGGGAGTCTCGCTCTGTCACCCAGGCTGGAGTGCAGTGGTGCGATCTTGGCTCACTGCAACCTCCGCCTCCCAAGTTCAAGCGATTCTCCCATCTCAGCCAGCTGAGTAGCTGGGACTACAGTTGTCCACCACCACGCCTGGCTACTTTTTATATTTTTAGTAGAGATGGGGTTTCACCACGTCGGCCCAGGTTCGTCTCGAATTCCCGACCTCAAGTGATCCTCCCGCCTCGGCCTCCCAAAGTGCTGGGATTACAGGTGTGAGCCACCGCCCCCGGCCCCTAAAGTTATTTTATATAGGCCTGGCGCGGTGGCTCAAGCCTGTAATCCCAGCACTTTGGGAGGCCGAGACGGGCGGATCACGAGGTCAGGAGATCGAAACCATCCTGGCTAACCCGGTGAAACCCCGTCTCTACTAAAAAATACAAAAAACTAGCCGGGCGAGGTGGCGGGCACCTGTAGTCCCAGCTACTCGGGAGGCTGAGGCAGGAGAATGGCGAGAACCCGGGAGGCGGAGCTTGCAGTGAGCTGAGATCCGGCCACTGCACTCCAGCCTGGGCGACAGAGCGAGACTCCGTCTCAAAAAAAAAAAAAAAGAAAGAAATCTAAAGTTATTATATACAATATATATCACATCATTATGTTATATAATATACATTACGTTATTGGTAAGAGAATGTGATATCTAATAATTGGGCTCGGGGTTCAAATCTGATTCTGGCACTCACTCGCTGTGCAGGCCTTGGGCGAGTAACTTAACCTCTCTGTGCCTCAGTTTCCCTAGTCAATAAAATGGAAATAGTCTAAGGCTTTGAGAATTGAACGTCAACTAATACAGGGACAGTACTTTTTTTTTTTTTTTTTTTTTTTTTTTTTGAGACGGAGTCTCGCTCTGTCGCCCAGGC